CACTCCAGCCTCTTGAGCTCAGAGCCAGTGTAATCCTCCTCTTGTGTGAGGGAGCCTCTCCCCTGCAGAGAGGAGGAAAGCCTGCCTCAGAACAGCCCTGGACAAAGGGGCTCAGATGCCCCATCATACTGCAGGCTCCAAGGTTTGAAACAAGGGGATGAATCCTATACGGTATTTGCAGTTTTTAACCCCTTCCCCAGGCTAGCTGTGCCCCTTAACTTCCACTCCTCCCCCAACTCTCTCTTCATTCCTTCTCCCTCTGGCTCCCTCCCCCTTCACGCCCCTCCCCCTCTGTCTGTCTTCAGACTCTGCTGCTGGGAGGTGTTTCTCTCCCATGCATGAATGAGTCTCTGTAATGAATGGAAATGAATGGATCAGGAATCCAGGCAGAGGGAGGGAGAATGAAGGGGGAAAGACAGAAAGGGTAAGGGCAGCAGGAAGCACTGTGGAACCTGGAAGGATGTGTGGCTGGCTGGTCAGGGTTCTCAGAGCAACTGGTCCCACTTGGATAACTGGGGAGCATGTCAAGCCCACTCCATTTGCTCACCACACTGTACAGCCCAACCTACATGGGAGGGGGGCATACTGTGATGGTCTTCCCCACCGCCGGGGGTGGGGGGTAGCTGTGGTTGTTCTGGACCATGCATTTAAAATACAGAATTTGGGTAGGAAATTTGAATTATCTGGGAGGCTGGTGGGCTTGGCAAATCAAGGGGTACAGTTTTTTAGTATAGCAGCCCTTTCGTGCCTCAAGATGCAAGTAGGGAGAAGGGATTGGTTTTTGGAATACAGAGTGCTGAGAGTCTAGGGGTAGGGAGTGACTTTACTGCTGAAAACTAGGGCTCACCTTTTCCTCCAAATCTGTCTCTTGCTTTAGCTCCACAGCACCTGTTGCCTTCATTAGCAGCCTTTCCTCCTCTTCCCTGCACTCCCCAGAACCAAAGAATGTGAAGGGGGTCCATGGAGGTGAGTGAAGCTCTGACTTCAACCTACAAGTACCTACCTACAACTGTATACTCCCTCTCCTGCCTACCTCTCTATCTCTTTCACCTCCCATTGTTAGAAGTTAACACCTTGGCCCTGACATCTCGATTCCCACACAGCCCCCCCAACTTCCCGAGGTGAGTGGCACCCTGTGTTCCTAGTTCAGACCCCAGCCCACCTTCCCTCGTGTCGTCTTTCTGGCCCTCGAGGCGATGCCCTTGCTTCCTTTACAGCTCTACCTTCCTTCACCCTTTGCTCTACGCAGATCTTTCTCCACAGGGCTCACGTCCCCGCGCCCCGAGCGGCCACTTAGCGCCGTCGCCGCCGGCTTTCGACGGTGAGCTGGATCTGCAGAGATATTCCAACGGGCCAGCCGTGAGCACAGGGTCACCTGGGATGGGAGCAGTGAGCTGGTCTGAGAGTCGCGCAGGCGAACGGCGCTTCCCCTGCCCTGTATGCGGGAAGCGCTTCCGCTTCAACTCTATCCTGGCTTTGCACCTGCGGGCACACCCAGGCGCCCAGGCCTTCCAGTGTCCTCACTGCGGCCACCGTGCGGCGCAGCGGGCTCTGCTGCGCTCGCACCTGCGCACACACCAGCCTGAGCGCCCACGTAGTCCTGCTGCACGCCTGTTGCTGGAATTGGAAGAGCGTGCGCTACTGCGTGAGGCTCGACTTGGGAGAGCCCGAAGCTCAGGGGGCATGCAGGCCGCCCCTGCCACTGAGGGCTTGGCGCGGCCACAGGCTCCTTCATCGTCCGCCTTCCGTTGCCCCTACTGCAAAGGCAAGTTTCGCACCTTGGCGGAGCGCGAACGCCACCTGCACATCCTGCACAGGCCCTGGAAGTGTGGCCTGTGCAGTTTCGGCGCCAGCCAGGAGGAGGAGCTGCTGCACCATAGCCTGACCGCCCACGGAGCTCCCGAACGCCCTCTGGCGGCCACCTCCGCTGCGCCCCAGCCTCAGCCTCCACCCCAGCCCGAACCCAGATCGGTCCCTGAGCCGGAGCCAGAGCCGGAGCCCGAACGTGAGGCAAACCCGGCCCCAGCTCCTGCAGCTCCCGACGAGCCCCCAGCACCTCCGGAGTTCCGCTGCCAAGTGTGCGGCCAGAGCTTTACACAGTCTTGGTTTCTCAAGGGCCACATGCGCAAGCACAAGGCCTCCTTCGATCACGCGTGTCCCGTGTGCGGCCGCTGCTTCAAGGAGCCCTGGTTCCTTAAGAACCACATGAAGGTGCACGCCAGCAAGCTGGGCCCACTGCGTGCCCCGGGGCCTGGCTCCGGGCCTGCCCGGGCTCCCCAGCCTCCTGACCTGGGCCTGCTGGCCTATGAGCCGTTGGGCCCAGCGCTCCTCTTGGCTCCGGCACCTACCCCGGCCGAGCGCCGTGAGCCCCCGAGCCTCTTGGGCTACCTGAGCCTGCGAGCTGGTGAGGGCCGGCCCAATGGCGAGGGTGCTGAGCCCGGGGCCGGCCGCAGCTTCGGAGGCTTTCGCCCGCTATCCTCTGCTCTCCCGGCCCGGGCTCGCCGGCACCGTGCGGAGGAGCCCGAGGAGGAAGAGGAGGTGGTGGAGGCCGAGGAGGAGACCTGGGCCCGGGGCAGGTCAATGGGTCCTCTGGCTTCCCTGCACCCGCGCCCGGGTGAGGGACCTGGGCACTCTGCGCCTGCTGCTGGGGCCCAGGCGAGATCGACCGCCACACAGGGTATGTAGGGATCCTCCTCTCGGGGTACACCGCGTTCTCCTCTGACTCTTACGCCGCCATTCCCCTTGTAGTTTCCTTTTTAAAAGAACCTATCTTTTATTTCTCCTGAGTTTTTTTTTGTTGTTGTTGTTGTTTCTTTCGCTTTTTCCTGGAGGCTTTGCCATCATATGAGAACACTTAACTCTTTAGTCACAAAAAAATCTAATCGCTCAGGTTCCAGTTCCCCCATACCTGCTGTTTCCTCCTGGACCCCGAGGGGAGGCAGCCTTATGGGGTGGGTGTGGGGTGGGTATGCGGGACCTGGATAGGGTGAAGGGCCCCCTGACTTCCCCTTAACGTTTGTGTTGCAGAAGAGAATGGGCTGTTGGTTGGAGGGACCAGGCCTGAAGGGGGCCGGGGCGCCACCGGCAAGGATTGTCCCTTCTGCGGAAAATCTTTCCGCTCGGCGCATCACCTCAAAGTGCATCTGCGCGTGCACACAGGTGAGGGAGGCAGCCTCCGGGGTGGAGAGGGGCTGGGGGGCTAGAAAGGTGAGGGCTGCCGAAACACCAGAAGGTGAAGTTTGCTCCAGAGCGTTCAGTTTGGCTAGATATCACTTGGGAAACGCTCCTTTATTCAATCAAAGTGGGTGAGAGGTTCTGAGGTTGAGGTCTGTAAACTGGGCGAAATTCGGGTGGGTGCATGCTGTGATTGTGACCCTGTGACCCTATCCTACCCACTCTCCCCAGGCGAGCGGCCCTACAAGTGTCCGCACTGCGACTACGCGGGCACCCAGTCTGGCTCGCTCAAGTATCACCTACAGCGCCACCACAGGGAGCAGAGGAGTGGGGCCGGCCCCGGGCCACCCCCGGAGCCACCGCCCCCTTCCCAGCGGGGTTTGGTCCCAACATCTGGAGCCAAGCCGTCTCCGCAGCCTGCGACCTGGGTGGAGGGCGCCTCAAGCCCCCGGCCTCCTTCTAGCGGTGCTGGGCCGGGGTCCCGTCGGAAGCCCGCCAGCCCTGGGAGGACCCTGCGCAACGGGCGAGGCGGTGAGGCCGAACCCCTGGACCTGTCCCTGCGGGCAGGGCCAGGAGGTGAGGCCGGGCCGGGGGGTGCCCTCCACCGCTGCCTCTTCTGCCCTTTCGCCACTGGAGCCCCGGAGCTCATGGCCTTGCACCTTCAAGTGCACCACAGCCGCCGGGCTAGGGGCCGCCGGCCACCCCAGGCTGACGCGTCCCCACCCTATGTCCGAATACCATCAGGAGAGACCCCTCCCAGTCCTTCGCAGGAAGGGGCGGAGGGTTCTGGGCAGTCCAGACCCGGAGAGGCAGGGCTGGGGGGGCAAGAACGGTAGTGAGCCCTCAGGGGCGATTAGCTTAGTGAGCTTACCCCGCCGGAGCGGGGGAGCGCTAGAGGTAGTTGGGTAGAGACGCCAGCAGGGGGCAGCGTGGGACCCATATCCCAGCCCCAGGCGGACCAGAGGTGGAGGGGGCGGCGGGCGTAGGAGGGTGGGCTGGTGGTACCCACCCAGCCCAAGGGAGTCACAGTGCCTTAGAAGTGGCAGAGGTGAGGGGTCAAAGAACGGAGTCCCAGGGCTGGCAGAGAGGGTTTGTGTCCCTGTTGAGGAGCCACTCTGCCAGTCTTTGCTGGTCCATAGGCGTGAGAGTTTATTTTTGTACAAGGGGTGAGGGTGGGGGGCACTGTACCCTTCTAGCCCCATCAGGGGCCCTGTAGACATTGCTATTTTTGGTACGATTCCTGTCATCCCTGTTGCAGAGTCGTGTCCCCAATAAACAGGTGTCTTGAGGCACAGGGCCCTGTGTCTGTCTGGCTACCCATGTTCTGTTCCCCTCCTTGGGCCCTCTGCCCAGGAAACAGTCACCTCTTCAGACACTTAGTTATCACCCAAAGAGTTTGACAAGAAATGCAGAATATTGGGTTTACCCCCAGGTTTCGATGCAGCAGCTCTGGTGGGGAACAAGAATTAGCATTCAACAAGTAGCCAAGCAGGTTCTCATCCACTGTGGCCTGAGGACCTCATTTTGAGAACTGCTGGACTGAGCTGGATCCCAGTTTGTCTACAGCCAGTTCAGCCTCAAGGAGTAGGTGTAACGTGGGAGAAGGAGCTTCAGAGAGTGTGTGGACCCTCTGGGAGCCACTGTGGAGGAGGCACATTCTCCCAGGCTCATACACAGTCAGCTCTGGGCCTGGGAGGGGTAGAGGGGGCCTTCCCGTCTTGGTTTTATTTTCTTTTCTGTGTTCTAGTTAAGGGCTGGATGAGGGAAACTGCTCAAGTTATTTATCACCTTAATCAGAGGACTACTCTAGCTCCTTGGAGGCAAAGTCTGCGTAAATACATTTAATATAACAATAGTATTATAATAGTAATTACATATATAAAGTCTACAGTTCCCCTGTCACACCCTCCTATTATTGTTTGCATAGTTCCATTTCCTGTGGCATCTCAGAATGGAGTCACCAGGAACTCCAGTTGACCTGGCAGAGATGATTCTTCTCAGGGAAAGTCAGGGGATGAGAAAAAAGAACATGGGCTACCAGAGAGGGCTGGCATGGGAGTGATGTCCTGGATTCAGTGGCCCAGGATGGGAAAGCACCAGAAGAGGGGTAACTTTCCCACCTCCAGGGCATGAAGGCAAGCAATGTTGCTGCTCTGGCTCCTGCAGGAGAAGGCACCAAGCTAGGGAGACTAGAGAGAGTGGTGGCAGGGCAATGCTCTGGTCCTTAGACCTTCCTGTGTCCAGGAAGCAGAGGGAAGAAATTCAGCAATCTCCCAGTGCTCCATTATGCCCCACTGCCATCCCAGCCCAAAGTGTGCTGAGAGGAGAAGCTGCAGGCAAGTTCTGGATTTTCTCTAGAAGCCAGGAGAGAAGAAGGAGATGAGTTGGGAGAGGGAATAAGCTGACTCCCATGTAGCTCGGGAGAGGAAGAAAGGTACATGCAAGAGGGAAGGAGTGTTGGCTGTGGTAGAAATTAGGGATGCTGACTCACCCAGGTCACAGAGGCGTGGTGGGGTCACTTAGGGCTCGAGCATGACTCTGGGGGAAGAGAAACTACAGTTAATTTAGGGATATACTTCCTGCCTCTCCTTTTTCCTCCCTCCATCCCTCCCCACCAGCCTGTCAATTCACCTCTCTTTCCTCCCCAGAGTCCTTGAATAGCAAAAGTAAATTTGCTATTTACTTTTTTTTTTTTTCAGAGGCAGGGGATCGCTGTCACCCACACTGGAGTGCAGTGGCACAAACAGCTCACTGAAGTCTCAGCTTCCCGGGCTCAAGAGATCCTCCTGCTTCAGCCTCCCAAGTAGCTGGGACTATAGGTGTGCACCCCTCAAAAGTCCAGCTAATTTAAAAAATTATTATTATTATTTTTTGAGATGGAGTTTTGCTCTTGTTACCCAGGCTGGAGTGCAATGGCACGATCTCGGCTCACCGCAACCTCTGCCTCCTGGGTTCAGGCAATTCTCCTGCCTCAGCCTCCTGAGTAGCTGGGATTACAGGCATGCGCCACCATGCCCAGCTAATTTTTTGTATATTTAGTAGAGACGGGGTTTCACCATGTTGACCAGGATGGTCTCGATCTCTTGACCTCGTGATCCACCTGCCTCGGCCTCCCAAAGTGCTGGGATTACAGGCTTGAGCCACCGCGCCCGGCCTAAAATTATTATTATTATAATTTTTTAGAGACGGGATCTCACTACATTGCCCAGGCTGGTCTTGAACTCCTAGGCTCAAGTGATCCTCCCGCCTCAACCTCTGAAAGTCTGAGATTACAGGTATGAGCCACCTCACCTGGCATGAGTTTTGTTATGTTAATCCAAGTCCAAGCCAGGCCATTGGCATTCTTCCCTTCCCATCCACTCTAGCACTATACTCCTTGTTCAAGATTCCTTTTAACCTATGACCTTGATGCCTCTTAGTCAGGCCCCGGGAAGAGGAGAAAGGTAGACAAGATAACAAATCCAGTCTGTAGCGTCAGCTGGGAGCACAAGTTCAGTTCCCCCCACCCCCGCTCAGACTGAATGATCAGAAAAGCCCACCCAGAAAGCCACCAAAGAGATCACCCCATTCCCAGCCTCACTGTAGGAACTTACCTGCCGGGATAGCCCTAAGATCCCTCCACTGGCCAGGGTGGGAGTGCTGCTCCCAGGGTGGGAGGGTTGCAGGCTGGGGCTGTTTCTTGGTCCTGGGGACACATCTCCAGAAGAGTCAAGTGTTTCTGGGGCTGAAGGGGAAGCTAGGGTGAGAACAGAGTATAGAATCCCTCCAGATTACCTTAAGCAACGAAGCTGCTCCATCAGGGAAGAAAAAGCTCCATAGCAACAGGAAGCTGTGAGTCACCACAGCAATCCAGTTGCAAGGGAACCCCCTACCAAGAGGCAGGAAATTGTCAGCAGCATCATTAGAGCAACCAGGGAAGAAGCAACAGGAAACTATAAGGATTGCCGTGGTGAACCAGGAGGGTGTAACAGGAAGCTGAGGCAGTTTCCATAGAAACCCAAGGAGAGCTAGAGAGAGGTACAGAGGAAGTGCTTCTTAGCAACAGGCTGTTGTAAGCATCACCCTAGCAACCAGAGGCTCTTTTAGCAGTGGGGAAGCTGTACATAGTTGTCATGGCAACTGGGCTACTTGGCTAGAGAAAAGAATTGCTCAGCAGCAAGCAGCCTGAACATCACCACCATGACCAAGCTGTTGGGAGCCACCCCTTGAGAGGTGCCTCACCCAGGGAAATTTGCTTGACGTCCAGATCCCAGGCCTCCTCCTCGACGCGGGCAGGCAGGGAGCAGGCTCCCGGAGAAAGGCCGGGAAGGGAGGGGCCGGCATGCTCAAAGGATGACACGGCCACGGAGGCCCGAGTGCGGGCGGCTGCAGAGAGTGGGGAGTTGGGGGTGGGGTGCTGGTGTGGGAAAGCCCTCTTGGCTCCCTGGAATGACCCTCAGTCTCATAGAGGGCCTCCCAGTCAGTCCCACCGATTTGGGGACGAGATGCCCTTCCTAACTTTCCACCACACCTCCCCTTTGTATCCTCATTGTCAAGGTCTTCATTCCTGGGGACCACCCCCCAGCACCCTGGCCCTCACCTCTTCCAGTGAGCAGGGCACTCAGCGTCCGCTCCCCAAGAGCTTTGATGTCCAGGAAGGGTTTATTCCCAATGCCCATGGAGACCATCTGCTGCACTCGGAGCTCTGGGGAACAGGGACACTTGTTACCAACTTCTTCCCGCCCCTCCCACTAGCTCTAGCATGTCACGGTTGACTCTTTTTTCTTTTCTTCTTCCTAACCCTCATTCCTCCCTCTCATTCCTCTGGTGTCTCTTGTTACTCCTTCTGTTGACTACCACAACATGGATGGTGATGATGGTATGACTTCCTCTTCAGATATCTGGCTCTTCTAAGTATGTTGCATCTTGCCCATTTGGCATCTAGCCGCCTGATTTCTACTCTGCGTCTTGGGTGTTAAGAGCAAACAAAAACTCACATTTGTACATACCTTTACAGTTTACAAGGTGCTTCCATATAGCTCACCTTACTTAATCATTCCTGTTACACTATTTCATTTTCAGATGAGTGGAATGAAGTTCAGAAAATTAAAACCAAGGTGAAACCCAGCAAAAAACAAAAAATAAACAAAAAACTAGTCCAGGTCACACAGCAGTTATTAAATCCAAGTGAGCGGTTTCTCACCTTCTTTTCCAAGCCATTTTCTTTATTATTATTAATATTATTTTTATATTATTATTATTTTCTGTCACCCAGGCTGGAAGACAATAGCGAGATCTCGGCTCACTGCAACCTCCGCCTCCCACGTTCAAGCGATTCTCCTGCCTCAGCTTCTGGAGTAGCTGGGATTACAGGGACCCGCCACTATGCCAGGCTAATTTTTGTATTTTTAGTAGAGATGAGGTTTCTCCATGTTGGTCAGGCTGGTCTCGAACTCACAACCTCAGGTGATCCGCCTATCTCGGCCTCCCAAAGTGCTGGGATTACAGGCATGAGCCACCACTCTCAGCCAAAAATTAAAAAAAAAAAAAAAATTCTTTAAAGACAGGGTCTTGCTCTGTCACCCAGGCCATGCCCCTTGTGCACACGACCACCAAAACCACAACTTGAAGCAGAGTCTGCTGTTTCATCCAGGCTCAAGTGCAGTGGCACCATCATAGCTCATTGTAGCCTTGAACATTTGGACTCAAGTGATCCTCCTACCTCACCCCTCAAATAGCTAGGAGTAGAGGCACACACCGCCATGCCCAGTTAATTTTAAAATTTTTTGTAGAAACGGGGTCTCACTATGTGCACAGGCTGCTCTTGCCTGGCCTCAAGAAATCCTCCCACCTTGGCCTCCCAAACTGTGCTGGGATTACAGGCATAAGCCACTGCTGCACCCAGCCCCTACTTCCTCTTCCTTCCCTGAAATTTTCCAGCTTTCTCTTTCTTTTAGGTATATCTTAGGCTCATTTCTACCTCAGTAATCTCTCTCAAGCCAGATCTTGAATCTTATTATAAACTATTCTTTCTTCACCCTCTTCACTGTTTTCCCAAGCAGTCTGCACACTCTCCAGAAAACTTCCTGCTATAACCCTGACTCCAAGCACCCCCTCCCTCAGCTCTCCAGTACCCTTGTTGTGGGCTGCCTGTCTCCACAGCAGCTGGGCAATAGAACTTGTCCACTTGAGTTTGATCTCCGGTGAGGATGCCTGCAGAGTGTATGCCTCTCGTGCACGCCGCCGCCGAAACCACAACTCAAAGCAGAGTCCGCTGTCCCCGATGTTTTCTGTCAGTCCCATGTCAGCAGTCTGAGGACGAGCAGAGGGCAGCGGGTGAAGACAGAGCGAGTTCTGGCTGGGTGGCCCTACAAGGCAAGCACTGGGCTTTGCCTGGCATCTGATAGATGTGCAGTAAACGTTTGCTCAATCCCTATCATGTGCTGAGGGCTCTACATTTAGTCTTTGTAACAACCATAATTTACAGAAGGGGAAACAAGACCCAGAAACATGAAGCAACTTGCACAAAGTCTTCTCACAGCTTATTAAAGCCGAAATGGGACCCAGTGTCTATGTTATTCCAAAGCCAGCCTTTTCTTCTATGCGATAATCCCTGCTGAAGAACTGGAACTAGTGCGATGGGTCCAAAGTCTACAAACCCTTAGAATCCATCCCACACTGCCTGATCCAGAACCACATGTTGCATAAATGTTTATCTGGATATCAAGGCTGTTTCCCTAAAGCAAGGCTTCCCTCTTCTTGGATTCTTTAGTCCAAGTATAGTGTGCTTTCTCCTCATGCCCTAGCAACCATCCCTAATTCCAAAAGCATGTGTGTCCTTAGTGGGAAAGTTCCTCTTCCAGTCTGGTTTGGAATGTCTCCTAAGTTCTCCTTCATGAATGATAAGAAAAATCTCATGAGGTAGACCAATGACAGGGACTTCTAACATCCCCTGACACCCTAACTCGATGGTCAATTACAAGCCAAAGCCTATTCCAGATGATGCAGATTCTAAACCTGCGTTGGGTCTGAATTTCCAGAATATCCTGAGTTCTCAAGAAGAGAATGACTTCCTGTCACCTCCACCACCCACTCCAGGAATTGTACCTTAAAGGCCTGCTTGTAAACAAACATCTCTGACCCCCCTTCAGGGCCCTTGAGCTTGCTGAACAGGAGGAGATGCTCAAAGAGAAAGACATGGCGAAGGCACTTCTTTCGGCCACAGATGATAGTGAAGGGGTCTCGATGCAAGAGCTGTCCCTGCTCCTTCAGATCTATCTGGAGAAAGGAAAAGGAAAAGTGGTTGGCCCAGGGGTCCTTTGTTTGTATTTTACAGGGAGCAAAAATAGATTTATAGTGCAAGAGGCCTAATGTACTGGTTCACAGGCAGAGTCAGGAAGTCAGGGAAGCCCTCAACCTAGAGTCCATCCACTGGTCGCCATGCACAGCACACCTGGCCTAGCAGCATAGCCCTGTCTCTGAAGATGGGAAGGTGCATTGCACAGCAGGGTCTACAACCTCCTGTGGGGAAGGCTTTGCAAGCTGGGGATCCAGGAAGAGAATCAGCAAAGAACTGAAAGGGAAATAGGGCTATTCCAGAGGAGTATACAGGATTCCAACATGTTCTGGAACCTCAGGGCTGGAAAAAGACTAGGTAGAGGAGAATAAGGTATGTGTTGGGTGTTGAGATGCCGGAGAAAGTATAGGGTAGATGAGGAAAGATAACAATTAGGAAAGGAACGGGAGAGTACAAGGTGGATGTAGGAACATGGGGTATTGGGAGGACATAGCTTCTTTTATTTATGAATGAGAAAAACGAGGCCCAGTGAAGTTCAGTGACTCAATCAAGGCCACCCAGCTGGTTAGAAATTAGAGCCTGGGCCCTCTGACCTGGAGCCTGGTTCTCCTGTCACCAACCTACACGGCTTCTGAAGCCAGGGCTGGGCAGTTTGAGCAGGAGTGACTGGAACCAGGGCCTCACCTCACAGCCACGCACTGCCTCCACGGCCAGCAGGTCTCTGCCACGGGCCTCTTGTTCCCGGAGCAGCTGCACAGCAGCCCCAAGGGCCTGGCGCTCAGAACTCAGCTCAGGCCCAGCTTCTCTCAGGAGCTCCTCCAGGAGCCGCCCATACCGAGCCAGCTGTTCCAGGGGCTGCTGCAGGGCTCGGGGAAGGTAAGGGCCAGCTTCCATGGATCCCTAGGTTGAGGACATAGACAGGTATGAGGGGAGGGCTGGAGCCTCTGGGGCCCAAGCCCTCAGGGGTTGGGGGGTGGATGGGTGATACGCTAGGCTTTTGGGTATATATGAAGCCAAAAGTAAGGCAAAAACCCTTCTCCCTGGAAAGAAAGGTGGGGGCCTGCCGGCCAGCAATTATCATCTATATCTTAAAGGGAAATGGAAGAAGAATTGAAATAGTAATCCCCTGTACTCTCTAGCTTTGAACTTTTAAAGTCACTTGTACATCTTTTGATGTGAGCTTTTCTGATTCTCAGAGCTTCCCTGTGTGCTGACTATAGTGACTAATGCCCCCATTTACCAGATGTGGAAATAGAGGCCCAAAGGAATCAGGAGTCCTGCCTAGTCCCTCAGGTGGGCGGGATAGGAACCCAGCCTCACCAGTCCACTGCTTGCCCCACCCTTGGTAATTCTAGGAGATGATTGGTAGGTGATGTTCCTGGGAACGTCCAGGAAAGCTTTTTTTTTCTCTGAGGGATTTTGTTGGGTGGGTTTTTAGGTCTTCCTGGCCCTCTTCTTTTCTTCTGAAGGTTGGAGAAAGGGTTACCTTGGTGGAGGGGCTGAGCGCAGCCAGACCATTCTCCAGTTTGTGCCGGTGCTTCACGTACTGGGCGTAAAGGCTGAACTGGTCCCCCTGCACCAGTAAAGAACAGACAATGCATCCCTGGTTAGGCCCCTGCAGACAAAGCTCTCCCTTCCCCATCTCCATCCTCTCTGTATCCCAAAGGAGGATAAGTCACCAGGGAGTACTCAGCCTGCCAGGGAGTGAAGAGCTCCCCGTGGAGAGAGTATAGTCCCAGCAGCCCTTGACAGGAGGGACACAGAGGCTGGTAGAGGCAGAGGTGCCCACAGAACAGGGCTGGCCCCCAGGATCATGAGGGCAGTGGGTACTGAGAAGGAGGGACAGATGGATGAGGCTGGAGCAGAGAAGGCAGAGCACTTGGAAGAAGTTGAGGAGATCACTCACGTGGCGAAGGAAGCAGGCCCCAATGCGCAGGGGGTGGGTGGCGCAGCCCTGAAGCTCCCGCAGAAAGTGTGTCCGGTGGAAGCTGCGGAGCCTTTCCCGGGCACTCAGGGTGGCAGCCCAGGTGCCTCGAAGTTCAGGAGTCAGCTCAGGCCCAGGGGGTGGTACCGGCTCACTTAAGGTGGCCACGTAATCTTGTTCACAGGCAATCAGCTCAGACACCAGACGCTGCTGGGCACTGCAGGCACAAGAGGAGTGGCAGAGGAGGTGTCATCTGGGGCATGGGAGGGGCCGCTACCCTCAACAATGTCATCTTCTTTTCCTACGGGGCAGTTGGGTCTGCCTCTTGGGCACCAGTTGGGCTGGGATCTCACCTGACGCTTCGCTTGCGCTCCATCCGGGGGGTGCCTACTCCCCAGGGTCCGTCTGGCCCCCCGGCCCGGCCCAACAGCACATGTTCCCGAGGTGAGCACGTCCTGTCTACCACCTCAGTGCTGGTGACCTCCAGGCCTCGGATCAGCACAGCCCGTGGGGGCCTGCCCTCTGCTTTGGGAGCCAGCTCAGGGCCCTCCTCCTCATAGTCCTCTCCACATGGGGCCAGGGAGCAATGGGATGGGGCTGCCTGTGGCCCAGGGCTGCTGGGGAGCAGCAAGGAGCTGAGGCTGGGTGAGGGGCTGTGGGGGCCCCACTGGGCCCCTCCGCTGCTGGCACTGTCTGCTCGCCGTCGCCAATACCCCTGTGGGCTTGCCTCCTCTCCCAGGTGTTGCTGAATCCTCCTCTCCAGCTCTTGGCAGCGTGCCCGGCAGCGGCCCCACTCTCGAAGGGCTGCTGGGCTGCCCAGGTCCAGGGCCAGGGCCCGCATCTCCTGGAAGGTGCCAGCACTGGGCTCTGGGGCCCGCCTCAGGGCCAGTGCAGCCAGCATGGCCTCCCGACCCGGGCCAGCTCCTGCCAGCCGAGCAAAACCCTCATCCACCCATTCGTGTGCCTACAAAGTCAAAGGGGTTGGGGATGGGAGAGAAAGGGTAAGGCCCTGTGCTGCTCCCAAAGGATGCCCAAGAAGAGCCCGTGTCCTCCTGCCTGTGGCTTCCCAGTGCCCATCACCCTCCCCATTTTCTCACTGTTCCAGCGTCACTGCCTAACCATGTCACTAGGAGTTGGTATGGAGATGGAGGAGCCTATATAAAAGAATAGCCAGTACTTATACGAAGTATATGAGTGGCAGGCTCTGTGCTAACTGCTTTTATATATTGCCTGATGTAATCCCCATAGCAGCCTTGTGGGCCAGATCTATGGAGGCACAGTCAGGTTTAGTATCTTGTCCCAGGTCATTCAGCAAGGAGGTGGCAGAGCTAAGAGTCAAAACCAAGGAGATGGGCTCCTCAGTCTCTGCTTTTCACGCCTTTCCTCCAGGCAGAGGGGAAGTAAATAAATGGAAATGGTGGGCACAGAAGGAAAAGACTCTGCATGCACCTGCTGGAAGAAGCGCTGTAGCCTCAAGGCCCGGTGGAGGCCACTCTCAACCTGTTCCAGCCTCTGTTCAAAGATATCCAGCACCTTCTGGGAGGTGGCATTCTCCTCCAGAGCCAGGGCCTCCCGTGCCTGGGCCAGGCGCTCCTGCAGAAGGGAGGCTGTGCTCATACCTGGTCCTCACTCCCAGGTGGTCTCTGCCTACCTCCTCTCACCTGTCCTCCTGCCCTTTCTCACCTGGACCTCAGTGCTGAAGGCCCGGAATCGAAGCTCTGTCTCCTGCAGGGCAGACAGGGTATCCCCGGGCGCAGTAAAACTTGCCAGCTGCTCCTCCCCTGGGCCCGAGAGCCACTGCAATACCTGAGGCAGATGGGGTGGGAGGGCATGGGGCATGGAGTGGAAAGGCAAGGAAGGGCTGAGATCCAGAGTCAGCCCCACCACCGCAATCTGTAGAACCTTGAGCAAACTATTGCATCTCATCTGCAACATGTGAGTAACAACAGTGAATAGTAATAGCTTCCACAAAGGTCAAGTGAGAAACCGAGTAAGAAATCTTCAGTAACGTGCCACATGAGAGGGAAGCTGGGCTGATGGGAAGTACTGAGGGAGGTGAGGTGAGTCAAAGTTTCAGGACTATGCCTGAGGGTGAAGTACATCAAACTGGGGTGAACCAAAGGGAGGATGAGGGTCCTATGGATGACTGAGGCCGTTCAGCAAACCTTGGCAACTGCTGGGCAAGGGTCCCAGGGACCAGGTCTGGAGGAACAGCACAGAATCAGTGTGTGTGTGTGGGGGTGGTGGTGGTGGTGTGTGTGTTTGTGTGTGTGTGTCTGTCTTTAGTTGCCTATTATGGGCCATAAGAACTCTCATGCTGGTTCTGAGATGTTTGACCAAAAAGGGATGGTAATGTTTTCCTCTGAAGAAAGGCTGGAAGCTGGGGGTGGGACAGCCTGAGGATGAGAAGTCTGAGACTATTTGTAACAGCCAGTGCCAATAATAACAACCACCTTTATAGTCCTTTGCTAAACTCATTTGATCTTTCTAACCACCTTGTCAGCAGATTGTTATCATCCCCATTCTATAGATGAGGACTTGGGAACTCAGAGAAGCTTTATGACTTGTCCAACATCTTACATAGGGCAGAACTAGAACTCAAGCTGAGTACTTTAGACTCCAAACTTCATTTTTAAACAGTTGGAGAAACAGCTAATAAGCAAGTAAGCAAATGGGAGGAGATGCAACCCACCTCTAGGATATTGGCTTAGAGGAAGCCAATATGAAGGAATCCCAGGAAACAGAAAGTCTTGGCCCCCACTTTAGCACTGGCCCTGCGATGACCTTTCCCTTGATGCCCACATGTAAGTCCATGAAGTGTTCACTCACCATGCTTGGGGCTAAGGAGGAACAATGAGATTTCAAAGCCCCCTCTGCCCCACATGGTAGGGTGAGAGCAAATCTGTATGAGGCTCTTAACCTCAGGCAAGAAGAATCAAGGTTCAAAGAAGCCAGCCTTATTCCTGAATTTTCCCCACGAAGAGGCCTGTATTTGCTCTCTCCTAAGGTGGAGGGAGGTGGGACCTTTCCGGCCTCAGGTCTGAGGGATGATATTGCGTAAGGAGTTAAGGGTGCCTGTGTGGCAGTATAACTAATGACCTGGTACCAATAGACATTTATTATTTTTCAGCCAAGGAGGTAGGCACTCCAGAATCAATTGGCTCTTTTCAGAATCCCCTACGGCATCTGAGCATCTCTCACAATCTCTTAGCATCTTCAATCAAGCATAATATACAGAGGGGACGGGGAGCTCTGGCTTCTTTTCTTTACTGGTGCTACAATACTCCCACCCTCTTGCTGAATCTCACAATTTTCCATGACCAAGCTCCAACAGAGGTGAGGAGAGAGGGAGGGGCATTCAACCAAGCCAGGAAAGGAGAACATCATCAACTATAAACACCAATGGGAAAGGTGCTGGGGGCCACGCTCCCAGGCTGAGTAAGAGGGATATGGGGGTTCTGGCTCACCTGCTGGAGTCGCCGCAGGCATTGCCGCTGCTCTTGCTGCTGCACGTGCAGGTTGGAGAGGCGTACGAGCTGGTGAATGGCCTCGTCCACTTCCTGATACAGCGTGGCTGGGCCTTGGCCCTCCAGCCTGGGGAAGGAGAAGGGAAGAATGAATCACTGCCCTTGTTGAGCCCCTCCATTCTGTCCTCCCAACCCTCCGAGGGATGCAAACATGAGAGGTTGCATAGCAGCATGGATCAAAAGCACAGGCTGGACCCCACTGCTCTGGTTTGAATCCTGACTCTTTACTGACTGATGTTGGCCAAGACAGTTAACACTTCTGATCCTCCAAATCCTCATTTGTAATGGTAAATGGTGCAGAAGGATGTTGAGAGGGTTATGAGATAGCAAGTGTAAAAGCATGGTATCTTGCCCAAATACATGCACAGTAAGAATGGTCTGGCAGCTAAGGTTTGTTGGCAGCCGTTGGCTGTGTCTCCACCTCCCACTTCAACCTGCCTCCACACACCCATCCCTCATACTTGCTGCTGTGAGTGGAGCGCAGCCTCATCAGGATGGCCCCCCCATCCCTCTGCAGTGCCGTCAGCCGGGGATCTGCCAGCACCTTCTGCAGGGGCTTGGGCATTCCCACTGCCTCCTGGGGATAGGGAGCAGTTGCCAGTTGGGGTTCCACCAGAGTGTCTCCACTCCAGCCCCATCCCAATCCCATCCCCCGCTGTCCCATTTCATTTCATACCTCTCCCTCTGGCTCTGCTGCTCCCTCCAGCTCCTCAATGGCCTGCCGTACTGAGTTCAGCACACCTTGGCACAGGTGGCATAGCCTTACCACTTCCTGAAACCCACATGCAGGGATGGAGTTGAGGATCAGAGTTTAAGAAGGACCCTAAGCCCTAGGGTTGGGGTGAGGTAGCCCTAGAGACTTTTATGGAGGCAATGCTGAATTCAGTTCTTGACTTTGTTGCTTACTATGATGTATGATATTGGGCAGGTCCAGAAACCTTCCTGAACTTCCAAGTTCAGAACCTTCCTCAACTGTAAAGTCAGGATAAGCCAGGCTTCTGTGATTTTTAAGGAGATGATGCCAGCTCAGCAACTGGCATGACATTGTACAGTTTGGGAACTGTGACCTTCCTTTCTCTCTGTCTTCACTGGGGCTTCACCCTGTCAAACCCCCTCTCTCTGCCTATTCATGTCTACTTCCCCTTTGACACTAATGGGGAAGCTTAGAGACCATCTACAGACCCCTCTTTTGTATTCAGCTCAGATCATGTTTATTTCTCTCTTCTTGAATACTCACAGCACTTATATTTAGAATCACATAAGTGCTGGAAGGACCTTTAGCAATTATACTATAATTGCTACACTTTGCTGATGAGGATCCTGAGGGCTAGATGTTGGTGCAAGGAGCAGGTACAGAAAGGGCACTATTTCTGCAAGTGAGGTAAAGTAATTTGGAACAACAACCAGCCTTTTGACTCTCAGTGCTTCCCAGAAACCCAATGACACTATCTTGCACCCTTCTTCACTTGTTTCATGATTTATCTCGTACCAAAGCAAAGGACTACTTAATGTCATATTAAGAATATATTTGGCTGGGTACGGTAGCCCACGCCTGTAATCATAGCACTTTGGCAGGGTGAGACAGGCAGATCACTTGAGTCCAGGCGTTTGAGATCAGCCTGGGCAACACGGCAAAACCCCGTCTCTTCAAAAAATACAAAAATTAGCTGGGTGTGGTGGCATGTGCCTGCAGCCCCAGCTACTCAGGAGGTTGATATGAGAGGATTGCTTGAGCTTGGGGGGTCGAGGCTGCACAATAACATGCACTCCAGCCTGGGCAGCAGAGTGAGACTATCTAAAAATAATAATAATAATTTGTTTAACATACTCCTTCCATCTCCCCAGTAGACCATGGCACAGTGCACATATTTTCCTCATGATTTGGAATCCACAAATACTTGTTGAATGGAATGGAATGGAAACCACTTTTTTGCAACCCCATGGTATGTCCTTGATCTGGCCACTTTCCTAGAATGTCTTCAGCTGGGTCATTCATGGCTCCCAGCATGCTAGGTGGTAGAGGGGAAGCTTACCTGATGTACCTCTACCCAGTGACTGGGAGAGGGGTTCCTGTGACCTCCTAATTCCCACTGCAGCTCCTCTGGCTTGGCCACTCTTTTCAGATCGTTCTCTGACAGCACCTCAGCACCCTGCAGAGGGTAAGGCAGGGGGTTTCTTCCTGGGCACCCAAGGACTCAGAAACCAGCCTGGAGCTCCAGGCAACCTTATCTCCTCTCTCCACTACTGATGGGAAACTAGGTGGGAATGAAGGGCTCAAACCTGAAATCCACAGAGTTCAGTTGGAGGGTCATCATGAGTGAGAATCAGCAGTCGCTGAAGGAGGGGAGGATCTCCTGAGTCCTAAGGGCAGAGAAGAAAAACCCTAAACTGGGCAACTGGGTGTCCTGGACTGGCCACTAGTGAAGAGTTAGGATTTAGGGGAACTGCCTGTTCAAGGTGTGGTTACCTGAAGTTGGCTCAAGACAGGAAGGAGTGCTGGAGGCAGTGGAGGTGCCTGGCGAAGGTCCAGTAGGATGGACAGCCCCAGTATCTGTAGATCAGGCCTGTGGGGGCAGGAAGAGCCAAGAAGGCTGCTGTGTGTGTGTTTGGGGAATAGCAGATAAGGCAAGGCAGATATACAGGGTCTGTTTTCAGTTAATAGTCCTCAGGAGAAATTAGTAGCTGGTACATTTGGGAAGAAATGGGCAAAGGGCCAAATTCTGGGATGTGTGTACAAGAAGTGACCTAGCAGTCGGGAGTCTATATTCATATGGCTACTAGGTCAAGGGATTAAGGTCTGGAAAGTTAGGAATTCTGTTCTGGAATGGTATGAATTCAATGTCAGCCTGTAGTATGGTGCCTAACAGGAACTCAGTGCTCAATAAATATTTGTTGAATAAGTGAACCAATGTCCTGATGAGATCAGGTAGGAGTGGAGGAGAGTGAAAGTCAACAGTGTTACTTTTGAGGATCAATGAAGATATGAAGCTGGAGGCTGGGGTCAGTAAGGCCAGAGGGCAATGACTTGAAATCTGAAGGCTGAAGAAGCAGGTGTCCTTAGCAGTCAGAAGGACAGTGTCCTGAGAAGGAGGTGAGGGTCCTCATGAATCAGGAGGTTAGTGTCCAGGGTGCCAGGACTGGGCCTCGGTTACCTGAGCAGTGAGTGGAGGTAATGAAGAGTAGTGCTCAGCGTGTCTCGGGAGGGTGGGGGCTCCTCAGGAGGGCACCGTGGGGTAATGGTCAGCAGAGCTCGCCCACTCTGGTCCACCCCTCCTGAAGACACAAAATGGCCAGGCTCTCCTGGCTGGGAGCAGTCCATGCCTACCTCCCTTCCACCCTGACTCTCCCAGCCCCCAAGCCCACCCAATTGCTTCTCTTTCCCCAGTTCTTTTCCCTTCACCCACTGATGCCCACTGACCAGTCAGGATGAGGAATCCAGATGCCATCAAGTCCCAATCTACATCAGCATCATCAGAGATGGAAACTGGAAGGCCCTCTTCTGGAATGCTGTCCCCTTTTCCTCCCTGCACAGTCTCCAGTGGAGGTGTTGGAAGGTCAGACAGGAGATCTTCGGGGTCTGTGTGTCCTGCATAGACTCAGACAGAGAAATGGGACTGAAGTTAAGATGGTTCTGGTTGTTCTGCTCCCAGCCTAAACCTGCTCCTCTTCCGGCTCCCTTCCCTAGGCCTGACCTGCTTTGGCCCTTGCCCCATGGGACTCAGTGTCATCTCACCTGCCATACACAGCAGACCTGGCCCCTGCTGCTCTCTCTCTCTGGCCTCCTCTTCTGTTGGCCCACAGGCTTCTGGAGATGGAGGCTCTTCTTTATCCGCTGGTTTGAGCTCCTCTTTTGGCTCAGATTCTGGCTTCCCTGCACCTTCATATTCCTCCTTAACCAGGCTGCATTCTGGAAGCTTGTGCTCACTTGGTGAGGGTACATTGCCAAGAGCTTCTTGGTGGCTGGCCTCTTCCTTGTCCCCAGAGCTCAGTGGGGCACTGTCCCCTCCTCGGCTTAGAGCCCCTCTGCCTGCAGCACGCTTCTTTCTTCTGTTTCCTTTGCCTGTTCTCCGAGGGGTCCCAGGCGGTCCTTCAGCCCCTTGGCCTCCTCCTCCTCCTCCTCTAAGCTCCCCTGGCCTCAGGGGGCAAGATTTAGAAGCTTCTCCCAAGGCCTCTGCTGGGGCCTCAGACACCTCCAAGACTACTGCCTCTGGGACAGCCTCAGCTCCTTGGGGAGACCCAGGGGAGGCTCCGGTGCTGCTCCCCTCACCAGGTGGGCGTGCTCCATCCTGGTCCCGAGGTCCCAGGCCCTTCTGGTGCATCCATGCCCGGTGTCTCCGGTGGCGGCCTTTCCCTCCAGCACCCTTGCGAGTGGGTACTGTCCGGACTCTAGAGAGGCCTGGGGAGCCTTCAGCATCTGTTGGGCTCCCCCTCACGGGCAGCGTCACCTCCAACAGCTCCACGTACTCACCCTCAGGTCCTTCCACAGGGGCATTGTGCCCATCCCCAGGGCTCCGGGTGCCCAGCGCCTCCTCAGGAAGTGGAGGGCTGGGAAGCCCTGGAGGTCCAGAGGGCAGTTCTGGGGGCAGTGTACTTGGCTGATGTCCAACCATGAGGCCCTCTTTGTGCACAAATCGTGGGCAGATGAGCTCAGCCCAGGGCAGCCGCTGAATCCCAGAGGGTGCAGACAGTAGGCAGGTACTGAGGCGACCCGTTGGCCGGTCCTTGTTGATGCCTTGTAGCCACTCAGGTGTGAATAGGTAGGCACAGGCCTCACTGGGCACAGGAATTTCCTGCACCCGTCCACCCCCAGGGGCCAGACACTTGAGTGCTAGTCGTGGTGCTTGGGCGGCTGAGGGTACCACTTGCAGATAGAAGTCTCCTGGGCGCAGCAGCTGCCAGGGTAGGGCTGCTAGCTGCACCACTACCTGTTCATGCAGGCAGAGCGGCCACCCCTCATGGAAGAAGAGGAATCCACTGTATTGGGCCTGGGGAGAGAGGTGGGAGGCTACACTCAGGCCTCTGCTGAAGAAACCAGCAGGAGAGGGCAGTTAGAATGGACCCACCCGAGGCAGGACTGGCCGTTTGCCTGGAAAGTTATACTCTCAGGAGAGCAGGAGGAGAGATCTTAGGGTATTCATGTGGCAGAGAGGAAGGGATTGGGACTGATTGGTCTCCTGGTGGTAAGAAGCTTCTCTAGGAAGCTAGTTCCATGTGTGGGAGGGCAAGAACTGAATCATTACCAAGACATGGTCAGTAGATGCCATTGTCTTGGTGAAATTAAAGACTCTTAGGAGTCTTTATATTTGCAGAAATGAAGGATCTCTGTTGAGTCGATATACGGGGGAGTTAGTATCTTGAGAAATTCATGAGGGGAGAAAATGTCTGGAATTGGGTCTGGAGGCTTAGGGTCTTTGGGGGTTAGTGTTTCTTAGGGGTCAATATTTGGGGAAGATGAATGTATCCGTATGTTCATTAGTATCTGAATGGTCAGTGCCTATGAAGGTCAAACTTTGTGGGAGGTCAGAGAATGAGGCTTAAATGACTCTGGGGAGATCAGTATTAGGGGAAGCTGTATGTCCAGGTTAGTGGGGGCATTAGTTAGCCTGGCTAGTCTCTAGAGTGTGGCAATGGATCTTGGGAAAGGCAGAATAGTGATGCACGGCCACTCACACAGGCTTCCTGCTGAACTTTGGCAAGCAGGTGCTTGGCTGGTACCAGGAAGTCCAGCGTGTACCTCAGTGCATCTTCCCGATAAGTCCTCTCCACCACCTGGAACACCTGGCCCAACAGGGTGGGGGCTGTTGCCTCAAAGGGTGGATACAGGGCAGCGAGAGTGCCCTGCACACAGTCCTCCACTGGTTCAGGCTCCTGTAGAGATAGGACCAGGCTAGAGATGACCCAATCATGGCTCCTTGGGAGCTGCACTGGTCTAGGGGTGGCTGTGTTCCCCAAAACCCCCATTGTACAATGTGTGCAAAAAAGCGGGCACTCAGGAAATGCTGGCTAATGAGCCCAGAATGGAAGTGGGGCTGGGCCAGAGTGCACAAGCCTGGCAGGGCACTCAACACTCAAGCTCTGGGACCTTGGCTTTGGAGATTGGGGAGAATTTGTTGTGAATGCCTCCGATCAGGGCTGTTCCGGGTGCTTGTGAGTTGGGGTGATGGCATAGATCTTTCCCAGGAGAGAAGAGACAGGCTTCTGGGCTAGCAGGGGACTGAGCTTATGGCTGAGAACTCTAGAGGGTGTGAGGAAGACTTCCACACAGTCATCCTGCAAACCCCTTCTCATAAGACCCATCATCCAGAGATCCCCATCTTAAGTGGAGGTGCCATCACCCACAATTATGTCCTAGAGATGACAATTCGGTGAAAAAGAGATGGTCATTTGTATACTAGAGATGGTCATTTGGTGGGAAGAGGAGGATGGAAAGACTGTGATTGTCTTGGGTCTTTCTAGCATGACTCTTCCCTCTCTCACAGTGGCTCTGAAGCAATCACCCATTCCTAGAGCATGTGGGATTGGGTTATAAAAACTGGGTGAGTTGAAAGAGAAAAAAGTCACAAAAGGAACGTGAGGGGAAGGAAAGAGGAGGCCTTGATGGCATGCTTTCGAGCTGATCTTTTCTGATTCCAGTGGGACCTCTCTCTGCCAGCCTCCACTAGGGGTCTCAAAAGACTCAGCCCTGCTTCATCCTCTGGACCCCCCTCTCTAAGTGAGTTAATGAGACATCTTTCTCCATCCCATAACCTAAACAACCACCCCTTGGGCTTTTCCTTTGCACACTTCTCTTTCAAGACAGTTTTTGAAGTTCCTTTTACTGGATTTTTTTTTTTCTTTTTTGCTGTAAATGGGGAAGGGGATACTCAATGCAGCCTATACCTTGCTCTCTACCCGCCCTACCCCCATGTCTTGCCTCTGCCATAAGACCAAAGAGCTTATTTTTCTCTTAGCTCCTCCATCCAGAGTTGCCCGTTTGTCTCAACTGTCAGTGAAGTTAGGGCAACCACTGCAGAGATGGGACATTCAGTGCGTCAGCGCGCAGACCCCGCCCCAAGGTGTGTGGGCGAGCAGACAGACCCCCCAGTGTTCCCCGGACCAGGCGGACGCAGTGCGCGTGGGTGGGGGGAAGGTGGAGATGGGCGGGGGTGAGGCAGAGTAGGATAGTCTGCTCCAAGGCCGGGAGTGGGGAGCTAGGGCTTGAGCAGCGAGGCAGCTGCAACCCATTAGGGGCGGTGAGCTCACGGCTGAGCGAGAGTCTCAGCCACAGGAAACTGCAGCGGCAGGAGGGGAGGAGGGGAGGAGGGGAGGAGGGGTCGGGAGAGGGAGGCGGCGGGCGGGAGCACGAAGACCCAGCCTCCTGCCGGCGGGGACCGGAGAGGAGACCAGAGAGACTGAGTCAGCTGTCCCTGGCCCAGTTCCTCTTTTTCCTTCAGCCTCTCTGCCAGAGGGTGCCCTTCCCTCCGTAGAGGGGCGGCCGCAGTAGTGCCCCTGCCCCTCCTCCACTGCCCGCGGTGAGCTCCCCCTGCAAGGCCTCTCCCCCTCCTCCACTCTGCAGCGAGCACCCCTTGGCCATGCCCCCGCCCTCCTTGCAGTGGGCGCTCTCCCTGGCAGTGCCCACTCTCGCAGTGGTGCTTCAGACTATTCTAGAGTGAAAGTTCTCAGGGCAGTGTTCACTCCTGTTGGTGTGGGCTTCTCACCGGTACCCTCCTGCTTCCAGCGCCCCGAGTTGCTGCTGCCAGGGTCGCCTACTTTCTACAGGGAGCTCTGGCTCAAGCTCCCTCTCCTCTGCAGCAGGAGTGCCCTGAGGCAGCCCTTCGGTTCCCTGCAGCAAGAGCTCTGGAGCACTTCCCTCCCCTGCAAACTCCGGTCGGCTCTGGCAGTGTCACGCCCCCTGGTACTGTGAGCTCCCCCCAAGCACCCCCAACTACCCCGAGGCAGCCCTTTTTCTTCCCGGGAATTTCCCTCTTTGGCCTTGCCCATGGCCCCGGCCCAGCCACAGCTGTGGCCAGTCCCCCAGGGCCGGATGGGTGGGCCTGCCTCACCGGGTTGGGGACCGGGATGGAAAATGGTGGTTCCAGGCAGGTCAGTTCTCATGACCCGAGGGGCCGGGCCTCTTCCAGGGCCACTGCAGGACCGACCCGCAGGGGTCTCCCGCGGGTCAGGAGATGGGACCAGGAGGGGGAGGGAAGCTCCAGGAAAGGAAGGCAAGGGTCTGGACTGAGGAGGGCGGGGAGGGGGATGTGTGCGGATTAGGGGAGAGACTCGAGGGAGGATGGGGGAGGAGACGGAGGAGATGAGGAAGAAAGGGTGAGGGCAATACCCTGTGGGGACGGAGCTAAACAGTCGGGCAGACGGACAGACAAATCGCAGAAGGGGGGATGGGAGGGAGGAGAGTCCCAGGAGCGCTGAGCAGTCCGAGGCAGGCTCGGGAGGCACCAGGCTGGGGACGAGGGACCGGAGCGGGCTGCGCGAAGGCCGAAGGGACCCAGGGGCTGCGACGAGGGACTCACCATGGCTCGGCGCCGGGCCGCGTCCGACGCTTGGTCGGGCGGGCGGGCGGGCGGGGCCGGGCGCGCCACCGCCTCCCTCCCGCCACTCGTGTCTCGCCGGGTCTGGCTGAGGGACAGCTCCGGCCGCGGTGGCGGCTCGGCCCGCTCAGGCTTCCAGGCCGCGGGGCCCCGCCAGGGAGGGCCGAGACGGCCGCCCCTCCCCGCCCCGCCCTTCAGCGCCCGCCCCGCCTCGGCGCGGGACCCCTGGCCGGGACTCCCTCTCCCGCGCCGAGACTCTGCAGCTCCCCGGGCGTCCCCAGCCTACCCGTCCCGTTCACCCGCAACCTTCTTTCTTCTCCGCCCCGCCCTCCAGCGGGTAACCCCGACTCCGACCCTCGGAGGCCGGCCCAGCAGAGGATGCCCCTCTTTTCCCGCCACGGCCTCGCTCCCCGCGCGATCAGTTTAGCCTCGTCAAGGAACGCTCCAAAGGCTGGGGCGTGCGTGAATACCCTTGGGGCTCCCCTGCTCAGAACTGGGGTCTTCCCACGGCTGGAAAGCCTCCCATCTCTAACTCGCTCGGGACCCTCTTCTCCCATCGGTTTCTAGACTTTGGCAGGACCCGGGGTTCAAAAGAGATCTTCAGGTCCCTGCTGGCCTAGCGTAGTGCGGAGGGCCGGGAAATCAGGGGATTCCCCAACCCCACAGGGGCCTGCCCGCCCTCCTCCTTTCCCTCCATCTCCTCGGGCCTCGAGCCTCCGGGCTGACAATGGGCTCCTCTGTGCTGCCTGGGGAAGGTGGGAATGTGCGGGAGTCAGGGAGCAGCGGAAGACTTTGGGATGGGGGCGAACAGCGTGGCAGCGGGGGCAGGGTTCCCTCATCGGGATGCTCAGATTGGGGCGTGCATTTCGCCGGATATTTTCTGAGTTCTCTCCTCCGTGGCCCTTCCCTTCCGCATCCCTTATCTCTCTATTCGGCTAGAAGAGGGAAGGCACCAGGCCTCCACTTCGAGGACTGGGTACTGGACGCCAGCGCCTTCCTTCTGGTGCGGCGGCTATAGAGTCCCGCAGGGCCGCTAGGGCTCGTGGCGATGGGGATGGGTATCTGGCGCAGGGGACAAAGCGGGGTGGCCTAGTTAAGAAAGTTCTAGCCTCATTCCCTCTCCCTCATCAAACCCCGAGCGTCCCCCCACCGTGTCTGAATGGGAAAGGAAGGCCGGTTAGGGGTCTCCCAGGAGTCCGGGGGAGGCACAGGCACGGCGGGGAAATGCCCCGCCCCACCTCTGAGCAGGCACCGGGAAGACCCGCGGCTTTGTGAGCCCTTCCAAAGGGTGGACGGAAAGGAGAGGAGGTAGGATGAGAAAGCTGAATAGTCCCCGGAGGGGCGTGAACGTGTGTGCCCTGCGTTGGGGCGAAGGGGAGAAAAGGTCCGGTCTCGCCCGCAGTTCCCCAGAGGCCAGCGCCTCTAGGCAGTGGTTGGAACAGCAAGAAGGGAGGCGGGGGCGTCGCCCAGGTAACGTGCTCTCACCTCCTCTGGACGCTAACCACCTTTTTCTCCGCTCCGCTGAGCCTGGAAAAGGACAGAGCAAATGTTCATCCTTCTTACAGGCAAGAAGAGGCCTCTACTCCATAGAGTCAAAAAAGAACCTAAGGCAACAAGCCCCAGCAACCATCTTCCCCGCACAGTTAGAGCCGTGGAGTTGGAGCTCTAACACCAGGCTATGCGACCCTCGAGTCACCGACACTCTCCAGCTTCCTCATTACGAGGGCCTGCGACCTAGGAGAGTGAGATTTTGCTACCACCTGGTGTCCATTCAGTAAATACTGCCCAGTGGCCGGTTACAGGGGCCAGTGTTTAGAAAATTTTCTTAGAAGATGTTTTAGGGAACCCTTGGTAGTGTCCAAGGTTGTCCACTGGATTCCAAGGCTTGCTACCCTTAGGTAGTGTAATATAAATTAATCTGGCCATAGGGTCCACAAACTCCTGGAAAAAGGGAGTGGATCTTTTTATTTTCGTGGAAAAAATGGGGAGCCACTGAAAGTTTTTGAGCTGGTGGGGTGAGGGAATTTGGATACAGAATCAGGGATGCAGTTACCCTTTCTTTCCAGGAGTTAAAAAATTTGTGCTAAATTACAGTGGTTTATTTTAAGTAAGTAAGTGACATGTGGTTGCAGCAGTTAAATACCACTTTCTCCCAAGAATGCAGGCTCTTACCTAAAAATGTGTGTGTGTGTGTACATGTGTGCGTACACAACAGAGTATGTGTTGATATGTGTGTTTTTAGTGGGGAATCTGAAGGGGTAAGGTTATAACAGAGAAATTAGAAGCTGGGAATAGACCAGTCTTAGACGCCTTTTCATTCACAAACAGTTCTTACTGTATTTTACCCATTTAAGATTCTTTGGGGCTTCTCAAACTCCTGTTTTACAGATGAAATTGTAGCTTATTGAAGTTAAGAAACTCTCTCTCGGCTACACAGCAAATGAGAAACCAGAATGTGAACCCAGGCTGTCTGACGCCAGAGCCTTCACTCCCAACCAGTAAGTTATAGGGTCTCATCTTAGTTGTCAACGTTAATAAAAAGAGTTTTAAGCCAGGCGTGGTGGCTCACACCTGTAATCCCAGCAATTTGGGAGGCTGAGGTGGGCAGATCATCTGAGGTCAGGAGTTCAAGACCAGCCTGACCAATAAAGTGAAATCCCGTCTCTACTAAAAGTACAAAAATTTGCTGGGTGTCGTGGCGGGTGCCTGCAATCCCAGCTACTCTCGAGTTGGTGGCAGGAGAATTGCTTGAACCCAGGAGGCAGAGTTAGCAGTGAGCTGAGATTGCACCACTGCACTCCAGCCCAGGTGACAGAGTGAGGCTCCATAAAAAGAAGAAGAAGAAAAAGAGTTTTAAACACCACATCACCATTTCTGCCACCTAACCATTACTCTAAAAAAAATGTTAAACTTGTTTTTGTAGAAGCCAGGACTGAGATTTAAAAAGTGATAGATATGTCCCTGTGGGTGAGAGAAGAAAAACTGCCTTTTTTCTAGACTTGTTGTAGAGTAATATAAAACAATTCTGAAGACGTTTCCAGTATGCTTCTTATGGAAAACTAATGTTATCCTAATACGGGGGAAGGTGGAAGAAACACCTGTGTCTGTACTGTTTATTGCCTGGTTTAAGCGCATCAAGAGTTATGACTGCCACCTTATAGAGGGTTGGGGTTTTAGGATGCTCACTATTTCTCCCTTGAAGAGTAGCAGTGACTAGGGCTTTGCCTCAGCCCCATGCCTTAAGTTAAGGGGGAATTAATGAAGGACCACAAGGAAATTTTAGGGACCGACTTGAGAATAAAAAAAAAAAAAATATATATATATATATATATATATTGAGACAGAGTTTCGCTCTTGTTACCCAGGCTGGAGTGCAATGGCGCCATCTCCGCTTACCGCAACCTTCGCCTCCTGGCTTCAGGCAATTCTCCTGCCTCAGCCTCCTGAGTAACTGGGATTACAGGCATGCGCCACCATGCCCAGCTAATTTTTTTTATTTTTAGCAGAGACGGGGTTTCACCATGTTGACCAGGATGGTCTCGATCTCTTGACCTTGTGATCCACCCGCCTCGGCCTCCCAAAGTGCTGGGATTACAGGAGTGAGCCACTGTGCCCGGTTGAGAATATATTCTTGTTAGCTGTGCCTTCCAAGGAAACTGGCGGCCAATATCCTAGTTATTTTAGGGTTAAAAAAAAATCTGTGTGATATGTAAATATATATCAATTCTATTTATGGTTTAGTTTTTCATGAGTTTTGGTTTTATTCGATTGGTAATATTTTTTCAACAATTTACAGCTTGTTTTCTCTGAACTAGGTGTCATCAAGGTCGATACCACCAGTATCTTGCCTGGGCTAGCACATGAGTTTCTGGACTGGTCTGTCTGTTCCACTCCTACTTTCTGATGAGCCATTTTCTGCACCATAGCCAGAGTAATCTTAAAAAATCCAAATAGATCTCATCAACCCTGTCTAATGGCTTTCCATTCGCATCATGACTCCTTTTCTGCCTCATCTTTTACCATAGCCCTATGGTGACATTATGCTAAGCCACTAGTGACCATGCAGCCACAGTGACCTCCTTTCAGTTTTATGGTTGGTTTTTTGGAGACAGAATCTGTCTCTGTTGCCCAGGCTGGAGTGCAGTGCCACAATCTAGACTCACTGCAACCTCTACCTCTCAGGTTCAAGTGATTCAGGTGCCTCAGCTTCCCAAGTAGCTGAGATTACAGGTGTGCGCCACCACATCCAGCTAATTTTGGTATTTTTAGTAGAGACGGGGTTTCATATTGGCCAGGCTGATCTCAAACTCCTGACTTTAGGTGATCCACCTGCCTTGGCCTCCCTAAGTGCTGGGATTACAGGCTTGAGCCACTGCGCTCAGCCCCTTCTTTCAGTTCTTTAAACATGCCTTACTTATTCCTAAAGATGCTCAATTTGGTACCTTTTTGCTCTCTTTTCCTTCTGTCTGGAGCTTTCTTTTTATTCACAATTCTAGTGGCTGGCTTTCATCTGTTAGGTCTTAACTAAGGTGTTACAGTCTCAAAGGTCTTCTTCCCTGACCACCCAGTCTAACGTGGTCTCTCAGTCACTGCCTTTCTGAATAATGTTACTCTGTTTTATTTTCTTCACAGCATTTATCTCTATTTGATTATTTATTTATTTTTTGTCTATCATAATAGACTCACCTTTCACCACATATAATTTAAAAATAAACTTTATTTAAAAATAAACTTTATTTAAAAATAAACTCACCTTTCCGTCTGGCCACATATGCCCCTGTCATCTCTGCTGAGAAAGCCTACCATGAACAGCTTACTGTAGCAGAGATCACCAATGCTTGCTTTGAGCCAGCCAACCAGATGGTGAAATGTGACCCTTGCCATGGTAAATACATGGCTTGCTGCCTGTTGTACCGTGGTGACATGGTTCCCAAAGGTGTCAGTGCTGCCATCGCCACCATCAAGACCAATCGCAGCATCCAGTTTGTGGATTGGTGCCCCACTGGCTTCAAGGTTGGCATCAACTACCAACTGTGGTGCCTGGTGGAGACCTGGCCAAGGTACAGAGAGCTGTGTGTATGCTGAGCAACACCACAGCTGTCGCCGAGGCCTGGGCTCGCCTGGACCACAAGTTTGACCTGATGTATGCCAAGCGTGCCTTTGTTCACTGGTACGTGGGTGAGGGGATGGAGGAAGGAGAGTTTTCAGAGGCCCGTGAGGACATGGCTGCCCTTGAGAAGGATTATGAGGAGGTTGGAGTGGATAGTGCTGAGGGAGAGGATGAGGGTGAAGAGTATTAACTTGTATGCTGTATTTTATACTCCATTGTCTTAGAATTGTTTTATTTCTGTTCTGTGGACCTGTCCATATGGCCCTTAATTGTCAATAAAAGTGATGTTTCCATTAAAAAAAATTATGAAATGAAGGACCTTGTCTATTTTGTCACTGCTCTTTTTCAGCTAGTGTCTGAACAGTCCCCAAAAGAGATCATAAATCCAGGTGAAGACTGAAAGGAGGGTAGAAAGCTACACAGAAGAGGAATGGTGTTGGGAGCAAGTGAGAGGTGGGAATGGGGAGGCAGAGGCTTGGGGGTCAGCTGCTTTCCTGTCTTCCTGGAATCAGTCCTCATGAAGTTGTTTTTTGTTTGTCTGTTGGTGGATATTTTCAAGCGGAAGGCATGCAAGACAGAATTTTTTTGTTTGCTTTTTGAGACAGAGTTTTGCTTGTTGCCCAGGCTGGAGTGCAGTGATGTGATTTCAGCTCACTGCAACCTCTGCCTCCTGGGTTCAAGTGATTCTCCTGCCTCAGCCTCCCAAATAGCTTGGATTACAGGTGCCCACCACCATGCCTGGCTAATTTTTGTATTTTTAGTAGAGATGGGGTTTCACCAAGTTGCTTAGGCTGGTCTCAAACTCCTGACCTCCAGTGATCCACCCATCTCAGCCTCCCAAAGTGCTGGGATTACAGGCGTGAGCCACCATGCCCATCTGCAGGACAGAATTAAGACAGATGTGGACCATCATCTGGCTCAGATGTAGGTTCATTGTAGTAGAAGAATGGAGGATGTACGGTTTGTAGGAGATGAATGGAGGGGGACTTCCGGAAAGGTTCCAAAGTTGCTTACAGACATTGTTGATGTACAAACCCAGACACTAACCCATTTGAAAATAACAGTTTTGTGTTCTGCTTTCTTCATGTCCATATGCATTTCTATGCATCAGTAACATTTTTGCTTATGTTGTCTTCAGTTAAAGCATCAAGTAGGCCGGGTACCGTGGCTCATGCCTGAATAATCCCAGCATTTTGGGAGGTCAAGGCGGGCGGATCACCTGAGGTCAGGAGTTTGAGACCAGCCTGACCAACATGGTGAAACCCTGTCTCTACTAAAAATACAAAAATTAGCTGGGTGTGGCGACATGTGCCTATAATTCCAGCTATTCGGGAGGCTGAGACAGGAGAATCACTTGAATCCAGGTGGCAGAGTTGGCAGTGAGCTGAGATTGTGCCACTACACTGCAGCCTGGGTAACAGTGAGACTCTGTCCAAAGAAAAAGAAAGGAAAAAAAAGCATCAAGTAATTCTTTGTTATTCACGTAGTTTATCTCAATTTTAGGGCATTTGTATTATGTTTAACTTTTCTCTGTTGTACAAAGAAAAGGTATAAAAAGCTTTGTAGAAATTTACTCCTCCCCACTTTGAATTATTCCCATATGGCTTATTATACAAAATGAAATTATTAGGTCAAATGGTAGGAACCATTTTATAACTTTTGTTATTGCCAGATGTGGCAATATGTGGAGGGCAGGGGTCATGAAACACTCTTAAAATATTTAAAAGGTTGATTGTGAAGAGGAATTGGGCTTATTCTAAATAGCTCAAAGCAGTAGGGCATCAGAGAATTGTTGCAGTTATAGAGAAGCAGATTAGGTTCTATGTAAGGGAGTTTTAAATATTTAGAGTTGCCCCAAAATGGGACAAGCTGTCTCCATAGGTAAATTCCCTCTCATTGAAAAATCTGAAGCATAATGAAAGAGTTTTTAAAGAAATTGTTTATAAGCTTTCCAGATTTGTGATCTGTACATTTTCCTAGCCCTAGCCCTTTGTTCCAAAACCACATTTTGTTAAATGAACATTTATTAAGACATAATCTGTGCCCGTTATGGTTAGCAGTGGCCCCAGCTCTCATTGACAGATCCCCAGCAGAGCCAGTCTCCTGGGCAGGCAATCTGGGAATTTCAACAGCGTGAAATCACTCCCATCCCCTAGGCTTCAGAACTTCCAAGCAGCGGGTAACACTTTGTGTCTAGTTCCATGACATCTCCTTTTTTTGTACTCAGTGTCTATCTCCAGGTCTCTGGCCATGTTGAACCTACTCATAAGACTCCCCATTACAAAACCTATGTGCTTACCTTGCCTCCAAATAACACCAAGCCAAACCCTACACCTAAGTGATTGATTCCAAGTAATTGTTACATTATCTGGTTTTATCTGTGTCAATAGATATTTGCACTTGATGAGGAGTTTGGAATCCCAAAAGATCTATAGTTGGCGGAATATAGCACTCCTAATTCCACTAACATAACTTTACTTCCTCACCCTGAACACGTGTGTGTTTACATACACACACATACACATACACACCACTTTCAGAAAGGCACTCTGATTTATTGAAGAAACTGGTTGCTTAAAATCCATTTTTTGTTTCCATTTTTGTTTCTTTTTTGAGACAGGGTCTTGCTGTGTTGCCCAGCCTGGAATACAGTGGCACAATCTCAGCTGACTGCAACCTTCGCCTCCTGGGCTCAAGTGATCCTCCCACTTCAGCCTCCCAGATAGCTGGTACTACAGGTGTGCACCACTAAACCCGGCTAATTTTATTTATTTATTTCTTTTTTTTTTTTGTAGATACAAGGTCTCACTACATTACCCAGGCTGGTCTTGAACACCTGGGCTCTATTGATCCTCCTGCCTCAGCCTCCCAAAGTGTTGGAATTATAGGCATGAGCCACTGCACCCAGCTTGTTTTGCTTATATTTTAAAAGCTGCTCTACTTAGTAAAAGTAGTCTCAAAACTCTGGCCAAAGAGGAAAAGTCCCTGTAGAGGATGGAGACCTGACTGGAGTCTTTGGGTTTTACTTTTTTTTGGAGTATATTTTGCTGAATTCCTCTGCCACCCCTACACTGGCCTTAGGAAAATCCTGCTCCCTTTTTTTTCATTTCTCTAGGATATAATACTCCCATTCCCAAGTCAGAAAACTAACCCAATTGAAGGCAGCACAGTGCAGGGAAGAGAATGCTGTGGAGAGACAGAGATCCAGGTTCAGTTCTGAAGACTCCACTGACGCTTGCATGCCCTTGAGCCTGAGCCTTGCGCTTCCCTCCCTGCTAATAAACGGCCCAGCGAAATCAACAAGCATGTTAACACCAGAAAATATAATCACCAAAGCCCACTGTGCAGTGTAGATGAAAATATCATGGAAAATGATTTAGTCTTGCAGCATCAATGTGAGTTTTAAAAATGTTTCTTTTGTGCCTAGCAAATAATATTTAGAGGGCCACTTGGCTTTTTTAAATTTATGTTTCCTATGTTGAAGTTTTAAATCAGCCCAGTTCTTCCTTAAGCTTTTATGTTTAACTTACAAATAAATAAATTCTAATAATCACTTTAAAGAATTGTATTCACTGACTATTTGATCTTATTTGTAAGTAGTTAATGAAACTCTTTAAATATTAAAAGATATGCTTTATAAATTCAATATATATTCCATGTCCTTATAATTTGGCCATTTGCGCTAACCAACAAAATATTCCTGAATACATAAAAACCTTTATAAATCTAACAATTTAAAAATAGGAGATTCAATTTCTATGTTTTCTCAAATGATCCAGAACTATTTTTAAAGGAAAGTCCCATTTCAAATCAGGTGCATTTTAAATCAGAATGACAAGCCTAATACAAGTTCCTTAATACAAAGATATTAATGCTATGTGTTGATTCTTTTAAACATTTTTATACTTAATTCTAAATTTTCTGGATATTAAAACATACTTACCCACTAGAAAATACGTATGTCCTCCCAAATGGCTGAGGAGTCCCTTCTCAAGTGCTTTTTTGGAAATACATTCTCAGGGGCCTAGAGAGCATACCCAGTAGAGATTCTGTCCCAAGGCTGTTGGGCAGCTCCTCTGTGGCCCCAGCTGCTTCACTGAGCCCTGTTTTATGAGTGCTGTGCATTACTGTCAGAATGAGCCAGTTTTGTAGCCCATGACCCCTAGATTCAAGTTACACTCCATCTAATTCTTCAGCCTACACAAGGAAGTCAGAAACTCCTACCCAGATTGCTACCCCACTTGTTTGGATATAATTAGTCTACTTAACGATTCATTCTATTCTGAATTCTTTTCACTCTCTTCCCAGCTTCTGGGGCCACAACTCTTATAGATATTGAATGGATGAATGTCTCCTGGTATTCCCTAACCCTGGCTAGAGACTAATGCTATGCCAGAGATATGCAACAGGAAAATTAACGTTCAACAGAGAATGAACTTCAGGTTAGGATAAATGAACTTCAGGATGAATGAAACCCTAAGGGAGGTGGGAAAAAAATGTTACAGAATCCATTTGGTTTATTCTTCTCTTCCATCTTATTACTTGTTAGTTTCATAAGTACTGTTTAATCTTGCCCCCTAAACAAGATAGTGAATCTGTGGTTGTACCAATCTATGTATATTTGCCTAGCTCCAAATCATGGCATCCTCCAAGGCCATAATGTGTATTGAGCACATGTTAGGAGCCCAGTGCTATTTGGAGAAAAGAAAATGAAAGTCGGTAACTTTTATGCCCTCTTGAGGTAGTTTCTGGGATAAAATGGGCAATTACTGGAGAAACAAACAAACAAGAATGAGCTGACACAGGTGACTTTTAGATTAGGACTTTGAATGATTATGATGTTTCCACTAACGAACACTAACAGGCTGCAGGAGTAAAGAGGGGCAGCTTTTGAAGCCAGGCAGATTATGAGCTTAGTTCTGAGTGTTTTGGGTTGAGATGTCTGTGGGATACTGACAGGGCTAGTAACAGCATGAAGATGGACATGTATGCCTGGACTTTGGGAGCTCTGGGCTGGAGATACACCTGTCTTTGGGAGTAGGTTAATGGTGGTTGGAGCCATGGAAGTAAATGAAGTCACTCAAGGAGCATACAGTGTGGGAAGAAAACAGAGCTCAGAATAGGACCCTGAAAAAACACCATCATTTAAGGTGCAGCCACAGGAAGTGGAGCCTGCCCACAACACTGGGAAGAAGCCAGGGGATGGAAGGATGTTTCTCTCTTACTTCCAGATGTTTTCTCTTGTTATACGCATAAGTGTGGACAACATCGTGGTGGTGATGGGCAGAGTGGTGTGGAGG